GATAAAGAGTAATTACAGAAAAACCCTCCTTTTGTCTTTCTTATGCCTCTGGAGGACTCCTGACATGACGTAAGTGTACTTTCTCTCTGACCTGCTGCCACCCAGGTGAGGTACATAGAGACGAATTTCACTTGTAAGGCAGACATCTGACCTGCTATCAGCATTAAACCTGAGAAATCAGACTGGAGACCAAGAGACTTCTTAAACACCCAAGCCAATCCACTCCCTCCAAAAAATCTGATTGCAGCATTTAGAATGTGCTATTTCTTTAGCACATGAACAAACTTAATCATCTGAGAGAGTCAGTTCAGAAGAGCATGGGTCTGACTATAATCAGCTTCTGCTGAAGGATGTCCCATGGTGTGCTGGCCTCCATCTCCTACATCTCGTGGTCCCTTCTCTGTCACCACACAGACCATGTGACACAGTCACTGCAGCAGTGCCAGCAGCTTTACTGAGCAGTGGTTGTCATACTCAAGTGCTGCTGACCTGACACCTGGTTCCAGCCCTCAGTTCCTCAGGGAGTGCTGTGCTGCTGCTGGCGTGCTGTGTCTGCACCTGCTCCTGCTGAAAAGAACTCACAGGGCGAGAGCAGGATTAATTGTTTACTACTAAATAATGCACAGCTGAGGTTAGTTTTTGCTCTCCTTGTTGTTCATGATGACAGAGCAGCTTCCTTGTTTAAAGTAATATTTTGGTAAAATTCTGACCATTTTACTACCATGTAATTCATGTCTCTATCTTTTCTACCTTGGCTTATTTCTGATCACTTTTTTATTTGCCATAAGGTCTAATTTTGTTCTGATTAAATGAAAAAGCAGTGAGACAGACTGAACTAGGTGAACTGTCAAATACCTAGGAGACTTACCAGCACAGAAGTATTTCCAAAATAAACATTTCCCTAAGAGGAGACTTGACAAACAGCCTGAACAATAAGATTCTTGAACACTACCCAGTTGATGTAACTCTTCTCAGGGCTAATTTACATAATTTGACATAATTACAGTTATAAGGACTTGAAGAAGCTTTGGAAGAAAGAATGTCACCAAAGCCTACATTTTATTGGGTCTCATTGCATTTGGCAGCCGTACAAAACTGTGGGGCATGGAAATGTGCTCAGATAGATCCTGATTATACAAACACATAATACAAGCTTTGAATGCTCAATGCAAGTTTGTCCTGTACAGAAAGATACCAGAGGTATTTTCCCTTCATGTGACTGCCCATCAAACCACCGTTTTGTCCACAAGGTAGCAGTGGACATCTGGCTGCCTGACTTCAGCTGCCTGCAACTGATGGCAGCCATGGAATTAAAACTTTTTAAACGAAAGTAAAAGATAATTTTTTTAAAAAAATATTTATATGTATGTGTATACACACGTGATTTTAATCATTCAAAGATGCAAATTAATAAATAATAATGGACTAGATCTCTGGATCTCCTAGGAGATCTCCTAGCTCAGGATGACCCCATTTTCTACTTTTATCATATGGAATTCTATCAACATTACACTTCAACAGTACAAAGGAGGATGAAAATGTCTTCTGAAGAATACTTTTTTCCAAAAATCTGTACAGTCTTCTACCAACCAGACTGCTATCCATGTCCTACCACAGACTATTGTGGTACCTCTCAGGTTATAGTGTGATACAGTGAGACTGCTTCCTCCTTCAAATTAATTCAACATAAATGGAATGCAGGAAAAAATACTGATTTTTGTGCTAGTCATGGAAGTCTAGTTCAATGACTTTATCCTTCTTTAAGTGG